TAAGAATAGCATGGGGCCAGCAGGTGATATGGTGGTTAAAGGTGCTGGATTCCCACATGGCCGACTGCAGTTCGAGTCCTGGACGTAATGGCTTATTTTCTCACTTTCCCTTTCTCTCTCTCTTTGTCTCTGTCTGGTCAAATTTAAAAATAATAACAAATGGAATTAAACAAATAAATAATTGCTTTAAAAATAATAGTAACAACAACAAATAAAATTAAATAAATAATCTTTTTAAGAAAAAAGATAAGGAAGGATATATTTAGAGGCTGGCAAGTGACATGGTGGATAAGGGCACTAGACTCCCACATGACTGACCATGCTTCAAGTCCCAGACCTGATGGCTTTCTTTCTTTTTTTTATTCCTTCTCTCTCTCACTCTCTTGCTCTGTCCCACTCTGGTCAAATTAAAATGAATAAAGTTGAACAAAATAGTTGTTTTAAAAGAAAGAATATATTTATATGTACATGTACATGAAAATAGGTAGATAAAGTAAACACAGCAAAGTGTTGACAATCTTGTTCATGAGACTAATTTTTAATTTTTTTTTAGGTTTTTGTTTTTGTTTTTTGCTATAGGGTGTGTGTGCTCACCGGAAAGACAGAGAGAGACAGAAAGACAGAAGGTGAGAAATCACCTCCCAGGGGGGATGGCCACGCTGTAATCCTTTCTCCTCCATTCTCCTCTCAGGATCTTGGCACACATGCACACGCGCCTGGCGTTGAGTTTAAGCTACCAGGTCCGGGACTCTAACCGGGGTCAGCTATATGGGAGTTCAGTGACATAGCCATTACACCAACTGCTGGTCCCCCTCAATCACTGATTCTATACTCATGTTCCACCCATTCCACTGTGTCACCTCCTAAGCAAACTTAACATTGGACTTGTCCATGATGTATAGACAGTAAACCAAAAATGTACACTCAGATGTTCCCTTCTGGCCAAGCATGGTCCTAAACTTGCACAGCTTAGAGCTGGCACAGGCTACAAAAGTAGGAAGACTGTCCCCATCCTTCCACAAAATACCCACACAAAGAAAGCCTGGAAAACTTCTCACCTGCTCAGAAAGCTTCCTTACTTCCTCTAGAATGGAAGCAACAGGCCGACTCCTCTCCCGGCCACGTGTAAAAGGAACAATGCAGTAGGTACACATATTGTCACAGCCTCGCATGATCGACCTGAGGAAGAAAGTTTTGAAACTTAGTAACGCGAAGAGGGTGTCTTGGTACAACCGAAGAGTCAGGTCACAGCTTTGGCTGTGAATCCTCTATTACCATGCTCACACCAGACAAATCTGAGATATAAGAAGCACTTAAGGGGAAACCAGCACGTGGCATGGTGATTGAGGCACTGGACTCCCACATGGTTGACCTTGGTTTGAGTCTCAGACCTGCTGGCTTGCTTTCTCACTTTCCCTCTCTCTCTCTGGTCAAATTGAAATAAGTGAATGAATAAATACAATTAAATAAATAATTCTTAAAAAAAAAAAAAAAGAGGTACTTAAGACAGACATATTTTTATCTTTAAAAACTGATATCTGGGACCAATCCCATAGCCTAACAGTTAAGGGAGCCAGATTCCAACTGCATAATTCATATCCCAGCCCTGACGGCCTGGAAAACATGGCACATACGTGTGTGTGTGTGTGTGTGTGTGTGTGTGTGTGTGTGACTACACCTCTTTGTCTCTCCTTGACAAGCTCATACACTCTCTGAAAAAATAGAAATAAATATATAAATCGCTCAGCTTCAGGCAATTCTGTTAGCAATGCAAGAAATGAACTAAAATACTCCCCAATTCTTGGGCAGTGACTCACACGAAGGCAGAAGTGGTACTGGGGCTCGTCTGAACCGGCATAACGTCAGCATAGGTCTCATCCAGAGAGAGCAGCACGTTGGCAGCTTGCTGGCCGGACTCAGCAACAGCCAACAGGCGGGGCAGATCTCGATAGGCATCTGGGCCAGCCAAAAGATCCACCACTTTCTCCCTGTTGAGGATCTCCTCCTTCAATCTCTCAGCCATGCAGCCTAGGAGAAAAATAAAACCAGCACTTGGTTCCAAATCCATCCGGTTTCTTGGTTTCTTCTCAGTACACATTACATCTAACATGGATTAGAACTGAGGACACAGAAAACCTTCTAAAAGCTTAGTATTTTCTCTCAGTTTGACCACCATTCCCATGGCACTGGAACATGAGCCTTCCTATGAGAAAACCATGGGAAACTGGTTCCAGAACAATTCAATTCAATGCCCAGAAAACATTAAATCAAAAACCAAAAACATTTCAAGACATGGACCACCTCTCCTTTATTTTTTTTTAAGTGTATTTATTTCTTCCAGATAGAGACAGAAAGAAACAAAGAGACAGCAACCCCAATAGTGTCCTGATGTAACAATCCCTCTCCAACCTCAGCCTGACCTGGATCATGGGCACACATGTGCCCAGAATACTCAAGGGAGGTCTCTGGATGTGAACCGGGAACCTTCTCATGTAGGTCAGCCTTGAAGAACAATTTATTACCACTGCACCTCTGTCCAGCCCATCAACATCTCTTCTTTCAAGTGAAAATTACTGAACATTGAAGCCAGTAGGTGGCATGGTTAGGTGCTAGATTCCCACACGGCTGACCACAGTGCAGTTCGAATCCTGGACCTGGCAGCTTGCTTTCTCTTTCTCTCACTCTCTCATTCACTCTCTGGTGAGCACACATGCCCTATAGCAAAATTTAAAATAATAATAATTAATATAATTTTCACCAAAAATAAAAAAAGAAAATTACTTAGCATTAAGATTAAAAATATAGGGACCAGCAGTTAGCGTAATGGCTATGTCACTGGACTCCCACGAAGTCGACCGCGGTTCGTGTCCCAGACCCGGTGGCTTAAAACTCACGCCGGGCGCGTGTGCGTGCGTGCCCAAGATCCCGAGAGGAGAATGGAGGAGAAGGGATTGCGGCATGACCATCCCCCCTGGGGGGTGATTTCTCGCTTTCTGTCCCTCTGTCTCTCTCTGTCTGTCTGGCGAATGCACGCGCCCTATAGCAAAAACCTCTCAAAAAAAAACATTAAAAATATATTGGTCCAGCAGGTGGCATAGAGATTAAAGCAGCTGGCTCCCACATAGCCAATTGCACAGTTCAAATCCCAGACCGGGTGGCTTAAAAAACACCAGGTGCGGGAACCAGCAGTTAGCGTAATGGCTATGTCACTGGACTCCCACGAAGTCGACCGCGGTGCGTGTCCCAGACCCGGTGGCTTAAAACTCACGCCGGGCGCGTGTGCGTGCGTGCCCAAGATCCCGAGAGGAGAATGGCGGAGAAGGGATTGCGGCATGACCCTCCCCCCTGGGGGGTGATTTCTCGCTTTCTGTCTCTATGTCTCTCTCTGTCTGTCTGGCGAACGCACACGCCCTATAGCAAAAATCTCTCAAAAAAAAAAAGAACTTAAAGTAGTAATTTTGGGGGCTAGCCCATGGTGTGGGTAAAGCAGGTGGACCCCACATGACCAAACACAGAGGTCAAGTCCCAGACCCAGCAACTTGAAAAGCACACCAAGTGCATATGTGTGCATCCGAGCCCAAAATCCCGAGAGGAGAATGGAGGAGAAGGGATTGCGGCATGACCCTCCCCCCTGGGGGGTGATTTCTCGCTTTCTGTCTCTATGTCTCTCTCTGTCTGTCTGGCGAACGCACACGCCCTATAGCAAAAATCTCTCAAAAAAAAAAAAAGAACTTTAAGTAGTTATTTTGGGGGCTAGCCCATGGTGTGGGTAAAGCAGGTGGACCCCACATGACCAAACACAGAGGTCAAGTCCCAGACCCAGCAACTTGAAAAGCACACCAAGTGCATATGTGTGCATGTCAAAAATCCCAAACGGAGGGACAGATATAGAAGGGACTGTAGAGTAACCATCCCCCATGGGGGTATTTTCTCACTTTCTCTCTCTGTGCCCACTCCAGCAAAAACACGTGCATCTTCTGGCAAAATTTTTTTGAAAAGTAGTAATTTTACATATATTTTACCAATTTTTTTTTTTAATTTTTCATGGGATTTCTGAAATTTCTAATAGACACATACCTAGGAGCTTCTATTACGAAGAAACTGGAACAGACCATTTCAGCTAATCCTTCCATCCTCCTGCATCCCTTTTTTTTTTTCCAGAGATTTTTGCTAAAGGGCATGTGTGATCCCTGGAGAGACAGAGACAGAAAGCAAGAAATCACTTCCCAGCATGGATGGTCACACCACTAATCCTTTTCTTCCATTCTCTTCTCAGGATTTTGGACATGCACACACATGTACGCAGCATGAGTTTCAAGTTACGAGGTCTGGGACTCAAACTGCTGTCAGCCATTTCCTTAACCACTACACCACCTGCATCTCTCTTTAAGTGGTTTGTTTGTCTGTTTACTTATTTATTTATTTATTTATTTATTTTTAGTTAGACCAGAGAGAGAAAGTGAAAAAGCAAACCACCAGGTCTAGGACTCAAACTGCAGTTGGCTATGTGGGAGTCTAGTACCTTAACCACTATGCCACTTGCCAGCCCCACTCCTGCATCTTTTAATACATTAATCTGTATAAATAGATTGTGTGGGACCCGCATTAAGAAGAACTGAACTATTCCAGAATAGATACAGTCTTTCCCATGAAGTTAAATATATTAACTAAATTCTAGGACAAAGGGGGTATGGAACATTTTTTTAAGAATTATTTTATTTAACATTCATTCATTCATTCATTTATTTTAATTTGACCAGACAGGGACAAAGTGAAAGAGAGAGAGAAAGTGAGAAAGCAAGCCACCAAGTCTAGAACTCAAACCATGGTCAGCCTTGTGGGAGTCCAGCACCCTTAACCACCATGCCACCTGCAGCCCTGGGAACTTTTTTTTTTTTTAGTATTATTTGGGGATCAGCAGATGGCATTACAATTACACTGCTGGACTCTCATGTAGTTGACCATGGTTTGAGTCCCAGTGGCTTGAAACTCACATCCAGTGCGTGTGTGTGTGCCCCAGATCCTGAGAGGAGAATAGAGGAGAAGGGACTGTGGTGTGGCCATCCCCCGGGTAGTGATTTCTTTCTTTCTGTCTCTCTGTCTCTCTGGCAAGCACACACACCCTACAGCAAAAATCTCTCTTAAAAAATTGTATTTATTTAATTTTATTAGTTTATTTATTTTCATTTTTCCAGAGAGAGGGAAAGGGAACATAAGAAAGCAAGCTGCCAGGTCCAGAACTCAAACTGTAGTTGGCCATGTGGGAGCGAGCCCATTGCCTTAACCACCATGCCACCTGCCAGTCCTAGGAACCTTTTTTTTAAATAATGAATTATTTTATTTAGCTTTCTTTATTTATTTTTATTTGAACAGAGAGGGACAGAAAGAGAAAGTGAGAAATCAAGCCACCAGGTCCAGGACTTAAACCACGGTCGGTCATGTGGGAATCCAGCGCCTTAACCACCATGCCACCTGCCAGTCCCGTGGAACATTTATTTTTGAAATACACTTCTTAGCCATCTAGGTCAGTGCTGTCTGCCAGAATTCTATGGTAAGATGATGGCCTGTACTGAATGGAAATTATCAGATGCACTATCCAAACTGGGAGCCCCTAGTCACATATGGCTTCTAAGCAGCTGAAATGTGGCTAATGTAACTGAAAAAGTAAATTATAAGTTTGACTTTATTTGAATTTAAGTAGCCCCATCTGGCTAGTGGCAACCTTACTAGCCAGTGCGGATCTAGCTTTTCACATGGGTATGCTTTAGGAGTAAAGATAACAGGTGTTGACATTATAAATTCATGCTTTCTATGGCCCACCTGCAATGGCACAGTGGTAGGCCGTCACTGTGTGATGCTGAAGCCACACGGGAGGCCCGGGTCCAACTCCAAGTCAACATGAATACATCGGGCATGCCTGTGCATGTCCATGATCCTCCAATAACTGGCAGGAAGGATGTGTGGAAGGATCACACCACGGCAGGACCAACAAGGATACCTGTGTCTGTTTGCGTCTGTCTCTCCCTCATAATAATGAAATAAATAAAATTTTAAAAATTTTGATCAAAAAATATCTCACACTGCCCTTTCACACTCCAAATTCTATCCTATCCATCTTTTGAGCCACCACAAGGTACTTTGGACTCTGGGAAGGACACATCACTTTCTGGGCACCTATTTCTTCAAGAAACTACGAAAAGCCCTTTAATGAGCTTTACCTCGCTTAGTTCTGTGGCCTCCAACATTACAGATTAGAGCTGCATGGGGTGTATAACAGGTCTTCACACACTAGGAATCCAGCCTCTAAAGGAAATTCTAACATATAAGGCACCTTCAAAAAGTACATGAATAATGTGTGAAATGAAACAATTATGCACAGATTTCAAAATTTCTTTGTACCAATGGGACAGTTGGCATAAAGGCTATGTTGCTGGACTCCCATGAAATCGACTGTGGTTTAAGTCCCGAACCCAGTGGCTTAAACTCACGCTGGAAGCGTGTGTGTGGGTGCCCAAGATCCCAAGAAAAAAATGAAGAAGGGATTGCGACATGGCCATCCCCCCTGGGGAGTGATTTCTCGCTTTCTGTCTCTCTGTCTCTGTCTGTCTTTCTGGCAAGCACACGCACCCTATAGCAAAAACCTCTCCAAAAAAGAAAAAAGAAAAAGTTTTTGTACCAAAATAAACTAGTACGTTAATTCCATTTTTTCCATGATCTTTTTTCTAATTATTTAATTTTATTTGTGTATTCATTTATTTTTATTTGACCACATACACACACACACAAAGAGTGAGAGAGAGAGTGACAGCAAGAGAGAAAGCAAGCCACCAGGTCTGGGACTTGAACCATGTTTGGGATGAGGGAGTGCCCAGCCCCTTAACCTCCACGCCACCTGCTGGTCCCTTCCATGATCTTTTTTCTAACTTTATTTATTATTATTTTTTAATTTGACCAGAGAGAGAGAGAGAAAGTGAAAAAGCAAGCCCCTAGATCTGTGATTTGAACCACGGTTGGCCACGTGGGAATCCAGCGCCTTTAACCACCACGCTACCTTCCACCTATAGAGATTTTTCCTACAGGTGCATATGCTGGCCAGAGACAGAGAGTGTGAGAAAGTGAGAAGCTGCACCCCTGGGGGGATGGTCACACTGCAATCCTTTCTCCTCCATTCTCCTCTCAGGATTTTGGGTATTCATGCACACATGCCCAGCATGAGTTTCAAGCCACTAGGTCCAAGACTCAAACCACAGTCAACATGTGGGAGTACAGCGCCTTAACCACTAAGCCACCTGTTGGCCCCTTCTGTGAACTTTTTGAATGGCTGCATGGTTATGATGGTTACCATGAATGAAGTCCCCTTAAAGCCATAAGTCTCAAAACTGAAAAAATGGGCAAATTACCGGATACCTAGAATCCCAATCCTGAGAGGCACCCGGGAGCGCAGTCGCTTTGTCTTGAGGACTTTAAGTTGATGTAAACGGTTCCAGATGGTCTGCTCGGCCTTCTCCCTACAGATATCAAAAGAGGTAAAACAGATCTGAAAATAAACTATAGAGCACTGTAAGAGAGTAGGATAATGGAAAGAAAATAAAAACCATCTTGCACCCTTTAAATGAACCTATTAGTCTTAGAGAAGGTAAGGGGGGTGTCCAGCGCCACTAGAATGACACCCACCCTGCACATCTGCAGATCGCGATATGCCTTTGAGTCAAATTTACTGTGGCCGACAGGTGGTGTGGTGGTTAAGTGAGCTGGATTCCCACATGGCCAACCACAGTTCGAGTCCCGGACCTGGCAGCGTGCTTTCTCACTTTCTCTCTCTCTCACTCTGTCCCTTCTGGTAAAATTAAAATAAATAAATACATAAAGTTAAATAAAATAATTCTTAGAAAAAAATTACTTCGCAAATCCTTTTCCAACTCTCCTTTCTTGGAGAGTTTGTCTTTTTTCTGAAAGAATTATTTATTTTGTTTAATTCATTATCATTTTTTTTTTTTTTAATTTAACCAGAGAGTATTCATTATCATTTTTTTTTTAATTTAACCAGAGAGAGGGAGAAAGTGGGAAAGCAAGTTGCTGGGTCTGGGACTCATTCAGCAATGTGGGAGTCCATCACCTCAACCACCATGCCACCGACTGGCCCCAAGTTTATCCTCTCTTTAACTGCCATTCCATTCATCTAGACTTTTCTCCATGCTCAGTCATTTCTCCTTTTTATTGCTTCATCTTTTGCCAGATTTTAGAGCTGTTTGTACATCTCTCTCAGTTTCCCCATCAGACTAAGTTCCTTAAGGTCGGGTTCCACAAAGGAAGGGTTTATTTCTGAATCTTCCAAAATACCTATTTCAATGTCATGCAGCAGAGGCCCTCATAATAAAGCCGTTGGGCTAATTGATGGCATGGTCAGCTGTGGAAGCATTAAAGCTAACATGCCTTATACACAGAAACGAAGATGCCACTCATTGTTATTCAGAACGCCTCCCCCTGCCACTGGTTACACCCTAGCCCAGGAGTGACATCATAAACATATGCCATTAGGCGCAAGAAAAACCTCAAGAAAAGGTGGGCGACTTGGCACACTCTCAGCTTCCTCATCCATAAAATGGGTTTGACAGCAGCACAACTGCGTAGGGCTGTAGTGAGAATTCCATTCGTTGGTGCATGCACAGTGCTCACACAGAAACTGATACAGGACAGGCTAAGTGGAAGTCAGTCCACTGTCTCTAGAGGATCCCCACTGCTGGTACTGCTGGTACTGACGTGGAGCCACCAGCTCATCTTCCTAAGGAAGCCAGTGGGCTCCGTTAGCTCTGCCATGATTACGGAAGATAAACTTAACTCCCTAGTGAAAGAACAACCTCCTACCTGATTGAACATGTGACAAGAAGGATCACATCGGCCTGCATGGAAAGAAAGGAAAAAAACAAAAGTTATGATCTTCGAAATTAGCCTTCTAGAATCACTGCTTTATTACTATCATAGTGATAAAAATATACATAACATGAAATTCAGCCTTGTAATCATTTTCAAGTATGGTTCTGTGGCATAAGGACATTAACACTGACATGCAACCATCACCGCCATCTATCTCCAGAATGGTTGCATCTGCCCCACCTAAAACTATTAGACACCAACTTTCTCCCACATTGATGTTCCATACAGCTATTTTTAACTTAACTCCTTACCTAGACGCATCACCATAAGAGTTTCAAAAACAGACAGAACAAAAATGGCAAAACAGTTACATCACTGGACTCCCACGTAGTTGACCATGGTTTGAGTCCCAGGCCCTGTGGCTTGAAACTCATGCTTGGTACATGTGCATGTGTGCTCAAAGGCCCAGTAGGAGAATGAAGGAGAAGGGACCGTGGCATGGTCATCTGCCTGGCAGGTGATTTCTCACTTTCTGTCTCTCTACCTCTCTCTGTCTCTACTGAAAGCACAGGTACCTTATAGCAGAAATCTCTCTCTCAAAAAAAAAAAGTGCACCTCAATCCCATGGTGCATACTTCACTCAAGGGAATCCTCTCTCACTAAGATGTACCCTGTTCCTGAAGCTGCACCTAAAAACTGGCACAGATACAGCCTCGTCCAGGGCCAGGAAACAAGAGGAGCTAGGAAATGTGTTACCTACCTCTTGGAGATTACTGGTCCGCAAGTAGCCACTCTTCTGTAAAATGGACCAAGCTATCTCTGTGTCATTCACATTCATCTGGCAGCCATAGGTCTCCAGGTAGACTGCAAAGAGAAGAGATTCCCTGGTAGGCAGATGACAAGGGTCACAAAAGGTCTCATTTCCAAATGCCCCAGAAACACCTGGGACCACTGGTAATTCCCTAACTACCCTGTTGGGAGGAGAGAAGGACAGGGAGGAGAACATAAATTTTTTTTTCTTTTTTTTTTTTTAATATTTTAACTTTTTAAAAATGTATTTATTTTAATTTAACCAGAGAGGGATAGAGAAAAAGTGAGAAAGTAAGCAGCCAGGTCCGGGATCCGAACTGCAGTCAGTCACGTGGAAGTCCAGTGCCCCTAGCCACCAAGCCATCTGCCGGCCCCCATCAAATTTCTTTTTTTTTTTATATAAATATTTTATTTATTTAATTCCATTTGTTATCATTATTATTTGTCAATGTAACCAGAGAGAGACAGAGACTGAGAGAGAAAGGGGAAGTGAGAAAGCAAGCTGCCAGGCCCAGGACGAACCCCACGGTCGGCCATGTGGGAATCCAGCCCCTTTAACCACTGCACCACCTGCTGGCCCCCATCAAATTTCTTCTTAACCTTCTTTGGCTCACTTTCTTTATCCAAAAACTTAAAAATGTCACTACTTATGTGTACTGGCCTCAGTGCCAGCCATGTGGGCTCAGAGACAAACTATACATGGTTCTTGTCCTCAGAGAGCTTCTAGTTTACTAAAGTGACTCGCTTTCTGTCTCTCTGACTCCATCACCCCAATGAGTGCACACACCCTATGGCAAAAATCACGCTCCAAAGAAAATTTTTTTTAATTTGAAACAACCTAATGTCCAACCATAGGGGAATAATTTTTAAAAATCATGATACTAGGGCCACCAAGTGGCGTGGTGGTTAAAGGCGCTGGATACCCACAGGGCCAACTGTAGTTCGAGTACCAGACCTAGTGGCTTGCTTTCTCACTTTCCCTTTCTCTCTCTCTCTGTCTCTGTATGGTCAAATCTGGTCAAATTAAAATAATAATGAATTATTTTAATGAAATTAAACAAATAATCTTCTTTAAAAATCATGAGACAGCACAATGTGTATCTTGTGCCAATTTTCTAAAAATTATTGGGACCAGCAGGGCCGGCAGGTGGCATGGTGGTTAAGGGTGCTGAACTCCTATATGATCAACCATGGTTCAAGTCCCAGACCTGGAGGCTTGCTTTCTCATTTCCCCCTCTCTCTCACTCTGTCCCTCTCTATCAAATTTAAATAAATAAGTAAGTAAGTAAATAAATAAATAAATAATTCTTTTTAAAAAAATGATTAGGACCAGCACATGGTGTAATGGTTACATCACTGGACTCCCCCATAGCCGACCACGGTTTGAGTCCCAGACCTAGCGGCTTAAAACTCATGCCAGGGCCATGTGTGCATGCCCAAGATCATAAGAGGAGAATGGAAGAGAAGGGACTGTGGCATGGTCATACCCTCTGGGGGGGCGATTTCTCGCTTTCTGTCTCTCTCTCTGTCTCTTCAGCAAGCGCACATGCACTGTAGTAAAAATCTCTCTTAAAAAAAATTTTTACAGGGACCAGCAGTTGGTGTAATGGCTATGTTGCTGGACTCCCATGTAGTCAACTGCGGTTCGAGTATCGGACCCCATGGCTTAAACTCACACTGGTCACATGTGCATGCATGCCCAATAATCCTGAGAAAAGAATGGAAGAGAAAGGGGGGTGGCCATGCCCAATAGCATGGGGGTGATTTCTTGCTTTCTGTCTCTCTGTCTTTCTGGTGGGCGCCCGTGCCCAATAGCAGAAACCTCTCCAAAACAAAAACAATTTACAAAAACTACAGTGTTTGGGAGAATGCTAAATAAAAACAGCAAGATACAAATAACTTGCACCATATGATTACAACCAAATCATTAAGAATTATGACGGGAAATGTGTTTTCTTTTTTTTTTGAAGAGGCTTTTTTTTTGCTATAGGGCGCATGTGCTCACCAGAAAGACAGAGAGAGAGACAGAAAG